CTACTCAAGGATCATGTTCTCTGCTGCTAAGTTCCACTCCGACTTTAATGTGCCTGATTTGGGGAAAGGGAGTCTGGATGAGTCAAGGATCCGGAGTACAATGGAAAGGAACAAAAGCAGAGACAGTTTGCCGACGTACAATGAGCTAATGGGACTTTCTCCTAAGCCCTCTACGGATGAGTACTTCCAGTGCAATACATCAAATGAAACAATCCTTACTGCCCCTTCGCCTCAGGCAAAATCAGAATATGACACATTAACCTCATCAGGGGGACTCCGAAAGGGCTCTCCAGCTGACCGGCAAACTCCTCACCTTACCTCTCCTCATACAATGGAGTACAAAGAGGACATGTCGGCAGCAAAGGGACAGAGCGGTTCAGCGCGACTGACGCCAAGCCAGACGCCAGAACCAGCACAAAATGCCCGTTTGACACCACACCAACACAATGTAGATCCTGGAGGGGGAGGAGGCAGTTTGGTGATAAAGAGGAAAGAGATCTTCAGCAAGGACACTTTGTTCAAACCTCCACATAATGCCTTGTCCACTGGCTATGTGGACAGCAGCTACACCAAGTCTGGCACATTGCGGAAAGCCTCACATGCCAAATCAACAGAGGCCCTAGACAATCCTGAGCCCCAGCAGCCTTCCAATTCAGCCACTTCCTCAGCGTCACCTGCAGTTTTACAGAGCAGCTTAGAGCCAACAGTCCCTTCTGCATCCTTTGACTATTATAACGTATCAGATGATGAGGAGGAGGAAGAAGCAGAGGAGGACTCGCACAAAAAGTTGGCCACAGCAGAGGACAGCAAAGACCATGGGGAAGGAGGTGGAAATGTTGGAGGCAGCAGTGGTGGTGGCGGAGAAGGAACCATGCAGTGGCTCCTTGAACGGGAGAAGGAGCACGATTTGCAGCGGAAACTGGAGACCAATCTGACCCTGCTCAGCCCCAAGGAGACGGAGAACAGCAGCAGCCAGAAGTCGGCCCACTCTGCCCGCTTGGACAGCATGGACAGCAGCAGTGTCACAGTGGACAGTGGCTTTAACTCTCCTAGGTAAGACCCAAACTGTGCATCATTCAAAACTTATCATAATGGAATGTGGCCTCAAGTCTCAAATCCATGTGTTTGTGGCCAGATCACAAGTATTTTGAAATGTCAGACCCACATACAAGTATCTAAAGATCAATCAGCTGTTAGTACATGGCAATCCTCAGTGCTTAAAAAGATAACGCCTTTGAAGAAGCAATACAAGTTCAGTTGCCATTTATTTAAGCAAATAGGATGATTTATAAATCCATACAAATACTTTATTAAACTTATTTTCTGGATTGGCACAACAGTCAGTTGGGAAATGATCAACTGGAAGTTTCTTCCTTCCTAAAATGTGAGTGACCTCTGCAACTCAATATACTTTTATACATTGTTTTTAAATCTATGTTTTTTTTCTTTACTGTCTCAATTTTCCTAACTTTTAATTGGTGCTTGGTTGTAATGTTGAGAATTTCCCAGTGGCGATTGATAAAGTATTTCTGATTCCAAGGGAAAGAGTGGTTTTTAGGTAGGGACAGGCTGACAGGAGTCTCTATGGACTATGATGTTTGCAGATGACATTGTGATAGGCAGTGAGAGCAGCATGTAAGTAGAGGAAAACTTAGAGGTGGAGGCATGTACTGGAGAATGGCACAGCGGAAAGGTGATGTTACATTGAGTAGAAGTAAAGAAAGTAGAGGACTTTAAGTACTTAGGATCAACAGTCCAGAGCAACGGAGAGTCTGGCAAAGAGGTGAAGAAGGGTGTGCAAACAAGTTGGGATGAGTGGAGTCAGGTGTCATATGTGATAAAAGGGTCTTGTAAAGAATGAAAAGAAAGGTGTACTAGACAGTCGCTGGACCAGCGATGTGTGGTTCAGAGACAGAACCAATACGGAAAAGACTGCAGGCAGAACTGGAGCTGGCTGAGGTCAAGATGTTGAGGTTTTGTTTTGGAGCGACGAGGATTAATATTTATTAATATTTTTTAGGAAACTGACATCTCATGTTAGATGTTTTGGACATAAAGTTAGAGAGACCATGCTGAGATGGTTTAGAAATGTTCAGAGGAGAGACAATGATTATATTGGTAGAAGGATCCTGGCTGGAGCCACCGAGCAGGAGGCCAGGAGGTAGACCAAACCAGAAATTTAGGGATCTGGTTGGATTCTGTAAAGGTAGAGGATGGAGAGGATAGGACTAAATGGAGACTGATAATTCAGTGTGGCAACCGCTGAAGGGAAAAGCCAAAAGAGAAGATGAAGAAGAAAAAAAATCTGGCTCCCTCAGAATCAGAAATACTTTGTTTACTCAGGAAAGCTGAGTAAAAATCTACCCCACACTTTTCAAAAATTTGAATATTAAGATTTTTTCCCACCTTATAACAAAGTACTTTCTTGTTTTGTTCTTTTACATAACATTCCCAAAAGTAAAATGAAGTTTGTGGTTAGGTAAGGGGATACTTTTATGAGGCAGTGTAATTTCAACAAAAACTTAAAAAGAGTGAACAAGCTTCAGTGAGAATTTAGTTTTATTAAAAATTGTCAAAAATACAGCAATTAATTCAGTGAAGCCCAGAAGTATTCCTACTCCTGTAAGATTTAGCTGTAATTAATCTTTCAATTTTATCAAGATGTTCATTTTGAATGGAAGTAACATTAATGTTTTGAAGTGGCCCAGCCAGATTCCAAACTTAAATCTGCTGAAGAATTTATGGAGGACGGTAAAGAATATGATGATGACAATGAGGCCTTCCAGCCTCAGTAACTTGGAGCACATTACCAAAGATAATTAAATGTTTGACTTACCAGTGAAAACATAGAAAACAATGGTTAGCAATTATCAGAAGGGATTGGCTGATTCTGAAAAATACTGTAATGGCACATGCTATAATACCAATAAAACTTCAAAAATTGAATGTAAATTCAAATATTTTTATATACTCTTTTTAATCATATGTACTAAAGCTGCAGCATTTAACTTTTATTTTTTTAAAATGTTGTTTTACACATTTGTTAAAATTGCCAGTATAATACGAGGCAGATAATCTGTTCTTTCAAATGTCTTTTTATTTTTACTAGAAATATATTGACAGACACATATAGACAATCTCCTCCATCTTCTCTGCCCATTGTAATCTGCAGAAAACCACTACCCCCATTGTCAGAAGCAACCAATCAGAACCAGGAGGAGGGTGTTAGTGCTGTCAATCAGGCTCGTGTACACACTTATTAATGTGCTAATGGCAGAGAAGCAACTTACCGTTCCAGGAAAACTGTTTACCCACTGTCATCAGTCGCCATGCCAACTAGCCTGAGCATTCGTGGCAGGCTCCATTGTGAAGAACAAGATGTGATATGTCAGAGAGCAAGTTGATTGACAGCATTAAGACCTCCTGGCTCTGATTGGTTGTTTCTGACCAATTGGTTTATTTTTGCAGATAGTAATAGGAGAAAACAGAGGAGTTTGATTTTTATTTTTTTTCATAGATCATCTGTCTTACACTAAATTGTCACAACATGACAGTTTTAACAAATATGTAAAAAGCATTTTTTATAGTGGTTACATACTTCAGCTTTAAGAAAAGCTGGATATAAATTTTGTAGAGGAAGATCTCCAAAACCTAACCCCCTCTGTATTGAATTTAACATGTACCTAACCATCTAGAAAAATTATGGTGGTTGTATAAAGGTTCATAAAACAGTATATCATCTGTAATAGCGTTTTTAAGGTTGGTGTTGCTTTAACTTGGAAGAAGCCAGCTTCAGTCTTGGACCCACTCTGACCAAGAATTAGCAGGAAAAATAATCTCAGTGTCATCAAAGTTTAATTGCTGCCATGGATAAAATCAGATCTTGTGCCACAATAACATAATGATTAATAAAACATCACAATATTTCTTACTTGTCTAATGAGACAAGTGTCCAGTTGCTGTTAGCATGATTTTGTTTGGCACAGTTCAGCTAAATTAGGATAAAACATTTCCTCACAAACTTTAAATAATGAATAATGTGTGGCATCAACCTGGTAGTGGTCAGAAGGGCAATTTACCATCATTCTCTTTATCTGATTTAAAAGATTTAACAGTGTCAGACAACACAAATTATTTTGTGATAACAGGCGGAAAACATTACCTTACAAACAATTAGCAGAGTTCTGGTTGCAATTCAAAACTTTTCTGATTGTTCAAACTTTAATTAGTTTATATTGCTCACAAAATTAAAATAATTTCAGTTATAAAATCCAATTTACAAAATCCAAATGTGACACCACAAACTGACACTCTCACCGCAGTTACTAAGCTGATATTAATGTTGATATGCTATTGCTGGTTCATATTTGGACAGTTTCAGTACAGTTTTAGAATTGTGGATTGTAGTTGATCGTCTCTTATTCATAATCTGAAATATTTAGACTGATCAAACATAAACTAGTTAATAGTTTTTAAGCTAAGAAGAGGTAAAGCTCGTTTGGCTAAATTAGCTATCATTCTAACTTGAACAATGAACAGTGTTGGCAGCTAAGATTCTGCCCACCAAGTTGAAAAAATAAACTGAGTGACAGACAAGACAAAAATGTGCTGCAACACCAACATTTCAAACCTGAATTATTTACATTGTCTATGGATCCTTTAAAATGATTTCCCAAACCTTCATTCTATGTGTTAAACATGTTTCAGTTCTTAATTTAAGGCTATCCTGAATCTTGCACATGGACGTCTGTGGCACAGTGGGTAGAATCTGAAGGTTGTGTTTGATTACAGTTTCTTCCGGTCACATGTTGGTGTACCCATGGGCAAGCCACATATTCCCAAGTTCTTTAGCGTGTGAGCAAATCTGCAATTTTAGTGTTTTTATGGGATCTGATCTGTAATCGTTCGTACACCTTGCTGTGCTGTAATGTGAATCTTCCTACCCCTCTAGAAACTTTTTTCAAACATAGGGACAAATAATAAATCTAGCAATTTTTTTATTTTGGTTGCATTCTCGGAGACTTTTGGTGAGTCTGAAGTGAAGCATGGTTTCTCTGAATGAGCGGTGGGTGCAGCTGTGACCCCCTCACTGCCCTAAAGCCCCCAGAGGCAGCCCAGCAGTCCTTTTTAGGCTGCAACCTCACTGAAAATTATTTGCACATAAGTGAAGCGGCTGCTGATTCATCACCTGTTAGTCAGAGTGGGATGTAAAGGTAATGTTTTTTTTTTTTTTTTTTAAATCTAAAATAAATTACTGCACTAAAATAAATAAGCTCAATTTTATTGTTGTTTATTTGGTTATTTGAGATTGTAGGCTTAAACTAAACTAGGTTTAAGAAAGCTAACCAAAAAGACTAAAAAAAAAATTAAAAAAATGAATGAATGAGAAAGTAAATAAAAACTCTGCCATAGTGTTTCTTTTGGATCACTTTTAAAGATCCCAGGCTCTAATAAAGCATTAGCATTCTTTATGTTTCTCTTATTGACTTCCTTTCTCTTTCCTACAGTGTTTCATCGTAATGTCATGCAGATGGCTAGTGAGATGATGGCAACACTGATTCTGTAGAAAAGACAAACAGACGGGACCAAAATATTTTTGGGATAGTTGTAGAAACCCATTGTTGTATTAGTTTTGTTTTTGCTCCCTTTGCACAAGCCAAACCTGAATTATTTTTACAGTTAGTTTAAAACTCAGTGGAACATGTGTTGACCCCTACACTTAGCTTCGCGGAAACACAAAAAGTATGAGTCATGTGTTATTGCTTTACTAAAAAATAGTTGGTATGATATTTGACGTTAACATGACTGCTTGAAAACTGTTTTCACTTTTTTGAGAGATTACGTTTGTTAAATTATCGCTAGCTAAATGAGTCCAGTTAGCATGACAGACTTTGTCACTGTTTAAAATCATAAAAGTGTCATTCTGTGATTCTGCTTTATAAAATAAAATCTTTGAAAAACATGACAAAATATTTGGTTGCATATGTTATGATAAATATTGCCATATCTACAACTGACTAACTAGACTTCGGCTTTGGACAGTTTTCCAATTAGAACTAACATTTCTGAGTAGAACTGATTCAAAAGAATTGCTGTCCCTCTTGCAGCAGCGTCAGTAGGAAATACCAGGGTTGTAGGTTGCACCATGCTCCTCATACTACCTGTGTTGGTTGCTCATTTCTTAAAAATGTGGTTACAATTTTGTCTAATGTCATCTTCAGTTTTGTGATTCATCTTACCTCCATGGTTCATTCTCCTGTAGGAATTGACTGCACTTAACCTCAACAAATCTGAAAGGGTTTATTATTATTATTATTATTATTATTATTATTATTATTATTATTATTATTATTATTATTATTATTATTATTATTATTATTATTGTTGTTATTATTATTATTTATTTATTTTTCTGTGCTATGATGTATTTTTATCCATTTGAGGGAATGTTGCAAAGTCAACCACTCATCAGTCCACTGTAGCCATAAGCTTACTCAGGAGGAGAGATTGCTACAAAGTCAGAGATGTAATCAGCTGGACTTCCTTGGACACATGACAAATCTTAATATGAAATTAAAAGCTACATTTTATTGTATTACATCATAATTAGGATTGCATTTGACTGCATGGAATGAAATTTAAGGCGTGTATTGGTGTTCTGTGAAAAAACGCTGTGAAAAAAAATGTTCCCCTTAATTTTTTTTTCATATACTTAAATGTTTCAGATCAACTAAAAAAATCTGATATCAGACAAAGATATTCTGAGGAAAAAACAAAATAAGTTTTCAAACATGATTTTGTCTATTAAGGCTAAAAAGGTAAAAAAAAAAAATAAAATAAAAATGATGTAACGTTCAGTTACCTTTTTGGAATGTGTGTAAAACTACCAATATTTAAAAATTTGAACATTGTAGCAAAACAAACAGCTTAGGACCTGGACCATTTCCTTTGAATGATGGAAGCATGAGTTCTGCACTGTGGCAGAAAATTCAGAATAAGCATATCAAGCTATCAGTTTTTGACTTAGAGCTCAAGCTTATGCTATGCATACAGCAGGATAATTATCCAAAGAGCAGCAGCAATTTCACCCCATAATGTCTCCACAAAACCCAAGTGGCTTTCAAATGGCCTACTTAAAGTTCTGACTAAAATGAGATTGAGATGCTGCAGCCTAACCCAAACAAGCTGCTATTGCTAGGAAACCCTCCAGTGGGACTGAATTAAAACCATTCTGCTTAATGGCTCAAAATTCCTCTGCAAAACAGTGATAGTCACTTATCCCAAACACCTGACGCCAGTCGTCGCCCGCTGAGGGAGGTATTTAATTACTCTGTGCTGGAAAATTATTTTGCTAACCTGACAAAGTTAAAGGTGCACTATGTTACTTTTTTGTAAAAAGAAAGAAAGAAACAAACAAACAAACAAACAAACAAACATGTTTTTATATATTTGTTAAAGCTGTCTCCAGTGACAGTATAATACGAGAAGCAATCTGGGAAAATTTTGATCTGCTCCACTTCCTTTCTGAGCTGCTGTAGCTGTCTGGAGAAATGCACCGCTCCTGAGCAAAATCAGCCAATCAGAGCCAGGAGGAGGGGCTTAGAGCTGTCAGTCAACCTCATGAATGCACTTGCCAAATGTGATAATGGCAAAGAAACAACTTACTGTTACAAGAAAACTATTTATCTGCCGTTGTTGGTGGCCATGATCACTAGCCTTAGCATTCATGAGAGGCTGTGCTAGCTGTGGCGTAACAGAGAGCAAGGGGAGTGGGAAACGAAGGGATAAGCAGCGCTACACAGATATGTGATTCACAGCACAAAGACCCTGCTCCTTGTTCTGATTGGTTGTTTTTGGTCCCTGGGAGCTCTGGGAAAAGGCATAGGAACTCAATTTTTTCACAGATTATCTGCCTCATTCCAAACTGTCACGACAACTGTAAGTATAACAAAACAAAAAAAAGCCAAAACCAAGAAACCTGTAAGGGAGCAAAAACTTTTTTTTCACGACACTATAAAAAACTGACTTTAATTTCTAATTTCCAAGCTAACTTTCTGTTTGTCGTGCAGAACACGTGAAAGCCTTGCATCCAACACATCCAGCATCGTGGAAAGCAATAGACGACAGAATCCGGCGCTGAGCCCAGGCCACATTGGCACCAGCAGCATTGGACTGCCTTTCAGCTTTCGCGCCATCCCCGAGCCCCCCACCACGCAGCCTGAGAAACTGCAGAAGTCATCGAACTGCCTGGCCTCCATCACCAGCGTCTGACAGACAGCACGGACTGAGACGGCCCAGGTGATGGAGCTGAAGTGAGGTGTTTTCACCAGTTTGATTTTCTTTTTTCCTTTCTTTCTTTCTTTTCTTTTCTTTTTCTAACCCTTGCGTTCCTCAACCAGTCACACACACACACACACACACACACACACACACACACACACACACACACACACACACACACACACACACACACATACACACAAACACACACACACCTTTTTATCTGGTTATCACAACCACGTCTAAAGCCAGCTTGATGCT